CATGTAAAATTTCTCATATATATATATAAAGTCATTTTTGGTATTTTAGTTCGGTGAAGCAAAATTGTTTCAACTGCCTTTGACTCGGCCTTGATTTCATTTTGTTTTACTCAAACACAGGCCAAAGCTTGACTACAGTTCCACATGGCAGTCAAGTATTCAAACTGATAGATGTAACAATTATCGCCATCTTTGGCAGAGGTTTACGTTGAACTTAAAAGGCTATAATGAGGACCATGATTGACTGGCGAAGGTCAAAATATATTATGTTATCACAAACAAACATGAGACGAAGACATGTAGATCAATGCATAGTTACTATAATAAATTGTTCGCATGTTATCATTTATTTATTTATTTAAAAACTTTATGCACAATAACGTACAATGGCGGACACCATTAGGTGTTCTCTACTAACTCTCTCTCTAACCGACAAATAAACAGAGAGAATAAGGAGGTGCGAAAAGCCAGATGAGGTAGTTTAAAATATGATAATATATAAATCACAAATTTGGTTTTTTTACTCAATTTGGGCTCATTTCTAGGTCTTGTGAACGTCAAACACTACCCCTATAGATTTCATACAGCTGAACTTTTAATGATGAAACAATAAACCATCTCCGGATAAACACAATATCTGCGCGCGGAGTTAATGGAGTTAGAAGCAAGTGCCTAATCTGTGACTGATGTTTTATTGTTCACACTTGCGAGGGGAGATTCGCCACGCCGACGGCGAATTACGCACATTACGAAATTTAATTCGGCGCAGGGCGCAGCTGGTGTGATACGACTTAAAAACCCGACTCAGAAATTCCTTTTCTAGTTAATGATAAAGGACCGAGTATCAGAGCAATCAGTTTTCCGTTGCGGTTCGTTATGCGTAAAAATCGCAGTCTCTTAATTGCACGCCGATTTACATTTCTATTTATATAATGGATGTCAAATCGCTTAGAGGTTGTTTATTTTACTTGTAAACTGTCGATAGATTCCCTGTATTTAGGATGTTGATGTAGAAGAGGTCCACACTAAAAAAAATCAAAATAATCGCGACGAAAACAAACACGACACACAGATGATAAATCCTTTAAAGGCTAAAGAAAATAAACCTTAGCTGCGTGTAAAAAAACAAGAACAAATAAAAAAAATAACAAAAGGGACGCCGCGACACTGAAAATAATTATCTCTTCCATTCGGGCTAACCAAAGAGATGTAAACGGCAATAAAGGGAGCAATATGTCCGCGTAGTGGGTCGGAAAATGACAGAATAACAAAGTGCTGGCAACACAAAGCCATGGCGGTTCCCGCGCGTCGGACCGGATAAATGTCACATTGGGGGGCGATATAAAATTATTTTCGCCCAAAACGCTGAATACAGTAAGCGATTCCTTTCCACTACACCTATATGGAGTTGAGTTTTAGTGAAACTGTGAAGCGGAACAAAAAGATGTGCAGCAAAGATTGAACTATCATTTTGGGTTACATGCATGCGGTTTTTGGTACCGTTTGTAATATTTAAGTGTACTTGACTCTCCCTAAGAAAATCGCCCGGTCTGATCTTCAATCACGAACAAACGTTTAATTAAAATTTAAAAGTGAGTTATATGAAATAAGTGCGCTAAATCTTCGTTAAAGACGCCATTATGCAAATGGGTATTTAAAACAAAGTTGGGTAACGATATGAAAATCTTAGCATACCTATTGTTCGACGCATGAGCTTAACATCCTGTGATTAATAAACCTGAATCCTCTCTGGATATAGCACTTAGTCCTCCGATCGGAACAAAATCCACATGTGATGGATCCGTGAGATATTCAGTGTCATTGTTACATGGAATGATCAAGTATTCAAAAAATGGGAAATGGTTTCATTTAATGCTCGCGTAAATATAAAAAATGTCAGGAAATTGTTTCAACTATCATTAAACAATTGAAGTAATGGTTCAAATGAAATTATTTTAGCGATATCAATAAGTTATTTTTGGAAAGCGCGTAAATAAAATAACTGATTATGATATGGTTGTGTTTGTTGCTAAGTACCTAATAAAAGAAAAAAGCACATAATTCTTAATCGCTTTACTTACACAAGCACTATATATACACCATAATGCGTGAGCATTTATAATCTGTGCACGGCATTTGTAATCTGTGCATCCCGCTAAACGGCGCGGGTTCGGTTTACCCGCAATCGCCTCGTCGAATCTAAACGACCAGATTTAACTCAATCGCGGCCCGGATCTCCGGCGCATTTTCACAATCTCGGGTGCACTGTTTAATTAGGGTCGCTTTGCTCTTTTCCACATCGGCCTCGAGCGATCCATCTCGTCTTTGAGTTCACGCTCGTTGCATCCCCGTAAGCGGCTACGAGAATAAACGTACGCAATGGCGATGCTTGCGTTTCAAAATGGGTAAACGTTCAAAACCGCACCGCTTAAATTCAACTTCTGCATTGAAGTTTTACGAAAGATTTATCTATGTTGTTTTATGGAAAAAAGATTAACAAGCAAGAGTGTCACCTTATGGTGAGGGATCACCACTCTTCAGGGACGTTCATCAACAGGGGATTCATGAAACGCCTTCGAGTTAGGAATCGGTTGAGTTGTTTAGGTTATTTAAGATGCACAAATGCATCAGCAGGATATAGTCCAGTATTGAACAGATTCTCCAAGACTTGTGCAAGGGCAAGTGCTGTTCTTAGAACTTCATATAAATGTAATAAAAAAGGATATCGTTTAGTTCAAATTTTCGGTCATATTTTTCCTCATTTTCGGTCGCTCCCTCATGGTTTCCACTTCCTGTCTGTTGGTCCGCACTCAAATGGCCATGACGCTATAATTCCCACGATACAATATATACATGTACCTACTATTTTGTACTATCGCCGACTTCATAACTAGGGCTTTTATTTACGGTAATACTACATAATACATACATAATAATACACACTAATTATAATAATACCGATGAGCCGTGATAGCTGTGTCCGGGCGCTCGCCTTTAATTCAATATACTCGAGCAACCTGAGTTCGATCCCCGGTGCCGGCACCAATGAAGTTTTTAACTTTAAGTGCTGACTTATCACGTGCTCCGCGGTGAAGTTAAACATCGTGAGGAAACCTGCATATTTTCGAAATAATAAAAAAAAATATATTTCGAAAATATGTGAAGTCCGCCAATCCACAGTGGGGCCGCGTGGTGGACTATGCCCTGATACTCTCTGTATAGAGGAGGCCTTTGCCCAGCAGTGGGACATATATTGGCTGTTACTTTACAACTACTGAAAATATTCTGTACAAACAAAAAGCTTTATGCGGCATGTCTTATTTGCGCAAAACCTAAATGGAGGTTACAGCCAGCAGACATGTTTTTTTTCCATATGACGTTTTAGTGTTAAGAAATATTTCGTGAAAAATTAACCTACAAGATATTAGGCGTTCTCAGCGAGTAATAAATTCTAATTAAGCCGTTCAAGTTTGTTATACAGTGTACGTTTAGACAATCGTTGCTCAGGCCGTCATAGCCTAATCTTCTCGCGTTTCTTTTCATTTCCATAAGGCATTTCCATAGCTCAGCGGACCGTGTACTTCGAGGCGGTGCCCTCGAGAACAACACAGCGCATTTTCAGTATATAAATACGAAAAATTATAAACTTCTGATACATCAATTATACGGTTGTTAAATAGCCTGATAATAGTATGAAATAAGTAGGAAACATTACGCTCGTGTTTAATGCACGCAAATAAGCGCGAGTGCTGGTCGTTTTGACGAGTTATCACTAAATCCCGGGCTTAATAAACTACTTTATTACTTGTTTAACTTTAAGATCGTCCAGCGGCGTACTTATTTTGAAATAATCAACTTTAACGACTTGGAAATAATTAAAAGATATTTAATTTCACCGTGGATTACTACAAGCGGCTACGCATAATTTCCGAGCGAGACACTGTCTGCTTTTCAGCTAAAATACATTAAATAAAACGAAATTTAATCAAATTTGACATGTTAAAAAGCATAAACCAAAATCACTACCAACCGTCACAAATGATTTTTGTTTTGGAATGCTGTTTTTCCGTTAATAAAATGGCAATGTCGATGTTGATCAAAATGGCAATCTATAAGACGTCACCAGAGGTCGTTACTATAACTACATTTGACGAGATCAGAAATAAACAGCTAAATGAGTTTACCTCGTCGTTTTCTCTAACATCCCGGTGAGCCAAAGAAATCCATTCTAGAGCATCACGAATCGAACGAACGATAATCGAACGAATGGAATGGTCGCGTTCCATTCTCCAATTGTCACCGCTCCGCCATTTGCACCCGTCACGGGAGTGAACGTTGAATGCACCCTGCCGAGATTTAAATCGATTTATGTCCGACTTCAAATAATACGTCGGCCTGACAAAATATGCGCAGTTTCAAGTAGTTTAATAAATATTTATTTATTAAACTATAGTAAAAAACGGGTACTTCATGTCAGTGGAATTCCCTATCAATCGACTTAAATAGTGATAAAATAAGTACGTAAGTAAATATTTTAAACATAATATGAAATGTCTTTGTATTTGTGTTACATATTTACAAAAACATGTCAGTGATATTTTTTTATAATTATTTTAGCTGTATACGTTCCACAAAATTCAAAAAATATTCGTGAAGCTTAATTCTGCTCATGTTTCATTAATTAAATAATAAAATTTGTGGAACTGGTAGTTAAAAAACATATTTTGATAATTACTCGTGGAAATGCTACAAATAATTGACGTGGACATCTGAAACATCATAGAATATGAAGACACCGACACTATTTTCACATCAATAACAACTGTGGAGTTATATTAAAAAAAATCTCACGAGTCGGGCGCGTCACGTGCAAACGAGATGACTCTATCGGGAGGAATCCGCAAGTCAAATCTTCGGTGCGTAGTTACGGTTCAATCAGACGATTGGGTTCTCGGAAACTTGCGTACGAGGCACGCGCTATGCAATGGCCTCCTCGGACAATGGCTACGTTTTTTGCCGCGTCCGCTCGACGCAAGGTGTCCGACAGTTGTCACGACAACGCCTCGTCGCTAACTGGTATGGGTCCAACAAAAAGAACTCTCGAATTTTCACGGATTACTAAAGCGCTTCTTTCGCTATTTCAGCAAACGGAAGAAATGTACGTTGGGTTTTTATTCACGTTGCTGTTTTTTGTCCATCTAATAAAATCAAGCTTTGTTGCGTTTTGCCGCCGCGAAACTAAACGAATTCAAATAAAAATTTGAAATCTGGATAGTTTGTGGTCTAGATTTTTAACGAGTAGAAATTAGTTGTTATGTTTTGAGAAGAGGTAAATTTTTAGGTAAAAAGGAAAATTGAGTTTTCGATACCACAGAGCATAGAAATCTTGCTTTAATAAAAACTATGTCATCTTCCAATATTTAACGCTTTAACAATGCAAGAAATATTCTGTTCCACTTGTATTGGTTCTTGTATTTCCGCTAACCTGCACCGATGTTTTATTGAACATGTGTAATTTTGTAAAATATTTTTATAATGGCAACTCTAAGTATACAAAAACACGGCGAGGGCGGAAATTTTGAACTCGTACAGAATCAACAGCAAGCTCAACACACAAGCCTGACGTCAACATCAATGACGTCACTATGACTAACAACAGTGACCTGTTTAGTAAAACCTTTTTGCATCCAACTCGTAAACATTTTACTGCGTAGCATCTCAAACTGCATGCTTTAGTTACTAAAAGACTATAAAATCGATAAAATCGTTAGCGAACTTTGACAGAACGGTTTTAATGCAAAATACGTACCTAGTAGTTAAATACACGTTGTCGGTTCTGTGTACACAGTGGATAAAATTAAACAGCGCAGTACGAGTAAAGGATGTAAAGAGTTAAGGTTGTGACACTAGATTTCCCTTGCAAAACACTTTTTTTCCAACCAAGTTTTCAGTCAATAACTGGCATTGTTTGCATATTACTGGCCTGTACGGGTAAAATTTTGTAAATAATTAAACATTACCGATGACCTTAACTTAAAATCTTAACCCTGACAACGCATGTAAAAAATAGGACGGTTGCGTTTGACGCTATTCAAATAAAAGGTAACCTTTATTTAATATATTATGTAAGGAGATTTATGTACAACAATTATAGATAAATGCTAGGTAGAAAAAGAAGAAGAATTATAGATCCACGTCTGCTACTTGCCCTGAAATATATACAGTTCTTTAAAGTCCATTAGAAGGATTAACTGACATATTATTCTATGATAGGGATCAAGCAAGCAATCCGAATATTAATTGACGCCAAAAATACTTCGAGAGTAAACACTTTAGTTTAGCAGCGTTTAAAAAATAATATCGACGCAAATAGTTGTAGCATAGTTGTAGCAATATAACATCATACACTTTGTACTCCAGTGAGGCTATCTGCTACTACTACTACGACATACGCACTGCAGGCAGGTTTCCTGTGGTACGTGACGTAACCGGGGCCCACTTATTTAATTGTTACCAATGCATTTAAAACCCCTGAGGTGTTGCGGATGTAGATGTGCGGCGTACGTAACATCAAGCGAAAACCCGCTAGCTTGACAGCTTTCCATTTAAAAATAGAAAACAGTCGAGTTTTCGCTTCGAGGACTGCGAAGAGCTTCGCGCGCGGGCTTCCAACTTCGGCACTCGTCCAGCACCGGGAGCAACGGGAATCGATCACTGAGCCGGGTGGTTTTGAATTGAAACAATCTCCGGGACAAAGGCCAGTGTTGCCAGGTCGCCCCGGCCCGGGAGACGGTTATGACGCGCCTGGGCGTGCCCCGGGTCGCGCCCTCTCCGTTCCCCGGGCCATTTGCCCGCCGGAATGCGGTGTCATCAGTGGCGAACGGAGCGTATAATGGAAAACGCCCCTCCGGCGACAACCCTCCGCACCGTCGCCCCCGACCCTCGCGCTAACGAAAATTCCACGAGCGCACCCCGATTAATCGCACGGACTAATTCGGTCTAAAGCAGATTGGGAAAGCGCTAATGTTGTGCTCAATGGATTAAGTCGATTAATTCAAATGTCAAAACTCGAAAAGAACGCTGGCTGCTGCGTATGTTATGCCCTTACATGACAATGTCCATAAAGCCGCGAAACTTCTAGTTCCAGTGCATTTATGATCGAAAACACTAGTCTCCTTTCTGGAGATGATTAAAGACTAGATAAACATATAAGACCTTGGCATCGCGGGCCGCGGTTTCCACACTCTAGCAACAATTGTATGGCGTGATTGGTGTAGAGGTTAGCGTTTTCAAAAACTGAAAAATAATATATGTATTCAAATGGATTAAGTAATCTTGAAGTTGGACTGCTGGTATTAATGGCAATAGGTTGGTGGGTTGTTCATGTGACTGCGAACATTTTATTTTCGATTAATAACTTGACCACAAAAAACTACTTTAAAAATATGAATTCTCTAAAAATTCTGCGGTAAAATCGGCGTCATTAAGTATAAAATACGTCTACTAAAGTCTATTTATAATACAATAACCTGAATAGTATTTAGACACATTATATATTTGATATGTTCTAAATAACTTAAAACTCAAAGTATAAATGTAAGAACCGTAACTCTCTGTATACCGAACTCCTTTCAATTCTTTATATTCAAAAACCAACCAGTTCTTGACCACCCGAACTGATGGTAAGCCTAAATTAAAAACGCAGTAGCTCGGCGATAGCTTATTAACTCTTGCCTCGAAGACAGGAAAAGTGACATTGGCTCTCGCCCTCTGCTCCACGAAAGAGGAGTTAATTCGCGCCGGTGAAATTCCGTGCGCCGTTTCAATTTGCCCAAAGCAGCGGAGCCGTGATTGTGACAAATTGGAAACGCAGCCAGAGTCGAGTGGGCCGAGTCTTTCCAAATCGGCGCCCTAATCCCGGAATCGGGGGCTCGGGGGCCATTTGTTTGCTAAAGGGATCGCGCGCCATCTGTACGTGACTCAAATGCACTAACACCCACAACAAAGGCGTCAACCCGGGCGAATTCTAAATCGTGTTTATCTATTTCACTTTAAAATTGATCCTTTCGGCCCTTTTCTCTAGACAATTTCATTAAAAAAATAAATCAACTACAGTCTATAGATGAAAAGCGTGAGTACTTACTAAAAATTATTCCATAGACTAGAACAATGAGGCCTTTTATTTTTTTAATTCACAATTGAATAAAATTTAAAACTACGAAATAAAACCTCCTTGCAAATAATCATCTGTATAGATTAAACAACAGAGCCTTGTTTGTTAATGCACTAAATGACCTTAGGTGGGGACGTACGAGTATGTACCTAAAGCGATTTCAATGAACTGTAGCAATTGTTTGCGTCATTAGTACCGCTGTGTTTAGTGAGGGAGTGTTTGTAAAAAGTTGCGTACTTTATAGTTCGCGAAACAAATCAAAAAAATAAAACCAGCCACGTGCGAGTTGGACTAGCACCATTATCTATAAAAATGGTGAAAAATCTCTTTTGTTTGTTGTATGGGAGCCACACATAGATTTTTTTTATTATGTTTTGTATTTGTTGTTATAGCGGCAACAGAAGTACATCATCTGTGAAAATTTCAACTGTCTATCACGGTTCATGAGATACAGCCTGGTGACTGACGGACAGACAGACAGCAGAGTCTTAGTAATAGGGTCCAGTTTTACCCTTTGGGTACGGAACCCTAAAATGTAAATGATAGAAAACAAAGGAGTTTAAAGCATTACAGAGGAAGCTTTAGGTTGTCATAGTTACATAAATAAAGAAGGTAAACAAACAGTCAACCCATACGGAAGACAGATAGTTCACATTTTAGCAAGCTTATTATTGAGTGTTTTTGTTGTTCAAAAGACGCTAAAACTTTATACCATAAAAGTTAGTTGTTAATGTGAGGAAATTTTTACTCAGGGGAAAGTAGCGAATTTTAGAAAATTAAAAGGTGCAAATAATTACGGAAATAAATCTAAATCGCGGCCAAGGTTAATACCGTAAGTTACTAAACCAATTTTGTCGCATTAAAGCAAAATAAGTAATATTATAGTGATGACTTTATTAAGGAATCGATGTAAGTAATTCACTACATCATTGTAACTACTTCCGATTTATATATTTTCCATTAAACGAAAAACTAACTAAACATGCCCATACTATTATAGTCTAATTAAGACGTTTAGTATTTTCTGATGCGTAAAAAAAATCGCAGTCAACTTCCTCACTAAACGAAATACGATAGTATATTCTACTTTATGCTGATTCAGAGAAGCCGCGGTATTTCCCTGGGCCGGCCCATCCGAGTAAGAGCAGAAGTTGATGTGTCAACACTTTAATGGAAATTATGATAGAAATTAAATGGCCGGCGAACAAAACAATGCCAAGGTTTTTCCTCAACTACGATATAAGCACTAAGCAGCGTAAGCGACGTAGAGCTCAGGTCTGCAGCCAACACTTTAATATCTTCGAAACAGCACCTACAGCCTTTCGTGGAGGTTCATCATCATTACCGTCACGATAAAAAGCACTCCCCGGACCATTGTCCTCAGTAGCGGTGCCTATCATGGCCGCCTAATGTGGCGGGAAAAGCATATGTCTCAATTAGTGACGCGGTAACAAATGGCCGGGCCGGGAACGGAATTAACTAACGGCATGGACGCGTGATGAAAAAACCATAACTGACAACTATAAATTACAATATTTTTGATTGCAAGTGTATAAAATGGGGGGGGGGGGGGGGATAACAATACATTTACAAACTTTAAAAATTTATTTCTTTTTTAATAAAATATGTAGAGAAAAATTTGGAGTAATATCGTAATTAAATATAGCCTTTAAAAATTAATTCACTCGACCTTTGAAATGTTAAAATTACAGTCTATCGACTCGAAGTTTGTCACGGTAAGACCACACAAGATGTCCAAATACCACCATAGTCAAAAACTATACTTCTCTCAAGGAAACATCTGCGAACGACAATATTACGCAATGTTTCAATGTCCGCATTCATTTTGAAACAACTCGAGTGTTCTTTTGGTGTAAAATATATAAAAAAAGGTTTGTTTTGCAAAAAAAGGGTGGTAATACATATTTTGAAATCGCACTGGCCGTCAAGTCGTTACAAATTCGCATTGACGTTTGACATTTTTCGTTAACGTGACCCGGTGTCAATGTGACAAGGTTAAAGGATCGTCCGCTGATTCTACAACGACTCCTGTTTCGTAAGGTATTGAGCTCAGAATTGTTCGTCTCGTCGCAAATGGACGGCAAGAGGATTTCGTTTGGGCGGGAGAGTGATGTAATATATCTGTCAGTGGGGCGTTCCATTGCGGGGCCCGAATGACAACATGTGCAGTGATTTGTAACGACCGCACACAAACGTGTTACTCTAATATTGTTATTAGGCGACGATGTATTTGTTAGAGTTTTAAATATTTCAATACTTTCTTGCGTCGTAAAACTATTAGGGGAAGTAGTGACGATCAGTTGATGCAGTGTCTTCGGCTTCGCTCCTGATGTCGATTCTCGACCGACATAAGTATTTCAATCACTTACAAAATTTTACAGCTGGCAGTGAAGCTTTATTAAAAAAAAATTATAATCGACAGAAAATATTAGGTAATTTAAATAATTTTATTAAATTAATTTGCTCCAAAATGTATACTATTACAGAACAGTTAATTTAAGTTTTTTTTTTGTTTAACTCACGCCTCATACTTTATCCTTGATACAAGCACAAATCCCAAGCCGTGAGTAAAATTTTAACGTTCGAAATACGGAAAACTAACAATAATGCTAATGCAAACAGTTACACTCGCGAACATGCCAACGATTGCCATATCGTTCATTTAATCTGCAAAACCCACACATTTTTTATCTGTTTCAAATCTACAAAATGCACCAATCAAAAAACGTGACCATTGTGGAGTCGTAACAACAAAAACGCGCCCCGACACCGACGCGGAACAGCTAATTGAAACTAATACTTTACCGCCGCTCGAACGGTTAAAACAAATGGCGCTATTAAAAGATCGTCTCTCATTCACTATAAATAACCGCCAGCGGAGCTCCTACCTCCCACAGTCATATGTCTTTATTCCGTCTAATAACGATTTGGGCAATTATGTGACAAAAGGGAAGTGTTCTCGTCGATCGCATTTCTCCCCGGGCTCAGGAAGGACAAGTCCCCGGGGACAGACTACCCACATTATTGCTCCGCGGTGATTTATAAGCCGGGACCGAAGACGGCCGTCCTTGTGTTTTACTCGTTTGCTGATGTTTATACCGTTTGCTGTTGAAACTAGGGTGTTAGTAAATATAACGCATTTACTTCGAATCGAGATTTTCTTTTATTCCGTACCAACTTGCATATTCAACCAATAAATATAAGTAAGTATTATTGAAGACGAACTCCACAAGAACTAAAGTAATATCACTTAAATGAAACTAGCTACGTATCATGTCTAACTTTTAACTTACTGTCTAACGTTAATAACTTTAAAGTTTATAAATTTACTAACATATAAACACTAACACGGGCAGGGATTAAACAATCAGAATTAAATACTTTCTCACTGACGGTAGAATTTCGTAATTAACTTTACAAAATGTAAAGTGGCGGTACCAACCTCGCTCCTAAGTTACGCTTAACTTGAATAGCCAAAAAACAGGCCGGCCAACATTGGACACGTTGGATCGATTGTCTCAGCCATCCACACATGTACCAAACAGTGTTGGGGCAATCGTGTTGATCCAGTCTAATTGGAATACAAACCAGCCCATATTACCTATTCACGATTACCTCTGTAACATTACTACGATTGTTGAGTGAAACTATCACTGCTAATTATATCGAGCTTAATTTATTCAACGTCCGCTGTTTCTTATAATTTTCAGCATTATTGGCCACGGGACTTACTGAGATCCTTATCGACCTGATG